CCCAGTCAGGGGCCGTGCCTGTCCCAAGGGACGCGGCTGTCTGCCACGCGGTCTCCCTCCGACCCTCTGGGCTCAGAGGACCGGCAAACTTTCCTGCCCAAATCCCCGGGTTTTTTTTACCTTTCCAAGGGAGTTCTGCCCTTCCCGGCTGCAAACTGTCTCACCAGCTGAGCAATTTCACCAATTCGGGGTGGGTGCTATTAGTTTCAGCTGCTCACTCCATTTGCTCCGGGACACGACCTGGGACGCGTCTGCCTATATCGCCGCCATCTTCTTTTTCTCCCAAATATTTATTTTATTTGTTAAAAATCTTTATCCTTCAGATTATTACAGATGTTCCTTTTTTCCCCCCAATAGCTCCCCTACACTCAGTTCCCACCCCACTCCAGGCCTTCCCTCCTCCACTGACCTCATCCATAGGTGTAAGCTCTTTGTCCAATCTCTTCCCGCACACCCCACAACCGTTCCCCCTGAGAATTGTTAGTCTGCTCCCTTTCCATGCCCCGCATTCTATTACATTCACCAGTTTATTCTGTTCATCAGGTTTTTCATTCATTTGATTTTTAGTTTCACTTGTTGATAGATATGTATTTGTTGTCACTTGTTCATATTTTTTATCTTTACCTTTTTCTTCTTCTTCCTCTTAAAGAATACCTTTCAGCATTTCATATAATACTGGTTTGGTGGTGATGAACTCCTTTAGCTTTTCCTTATCTGTGAAGCTCTTTATCTGACCTTCAATTCTGAATGATAGCTTTGCTGGATAAAGTAAACTTGGTTGTAGGTTCTTGGTATTCATCACTTTGAATATTTCTTGCCACTCCCTTCTGGCCTGCAAAGTTTCTGTTGAGAAATCCGCTGACAGTCATATGGGTATTCCCTTGTATGTAACTGAGTTTCTTTCTCTTGCTGCTTTTAAGATTCTCTCTTTGTCTTTTGCTCTTGGCATTTTAATTATGATGTGTCTTGGTGTGGTCCTCTTTGGATTCCTTTTGTTTGGGGTTCTCTGCACTCAAGCCTTGATTGCTGTTGGTATCACTGGGAGGAATAGACCTCCAGGCGAATTGGCTGTGATGACCAGCTGTGTCTACACTGGAATAGCTCTTGTGCAGGAGACACCCTTATGGGGCAGGACTTGCTTCAGTGGGGTTTTGGTGCTCACTGAGTCTGCCCCTTGAGTGTGTCTCTTATGGATGTGGAGAGTTGTAATCTGGTATGGTCTCACTCTGACCACTGGGTACACTGGCTCTCAGCTCTCCAAGGTGGTGCAAGGTCATCCACTGTCTGGGGCTGCCCAGCAGAGACATCTGAAGATTCCTCCTCTTTATATGGGGTTTGGAAGTTCCCAGACAAGGCCCCGCTGTGAACCAAGGCAGGCTGCTGCTGATGGGCCTTGGGCCTTCTTTTGGAAGCTCTTGGGCTCTCTGACCCAGCTGCAGTTTGACAGGTTTTAGGCGGAGAAAGGACAGGCCATTCATGTGCAAAAGCCGATGTGCACAGCTTGGGTGGGGTTGTAAATTGGGTGGGGAATCACCAGGGCAGAGCAAACAGCAATGGCTGCCAGTCAGCCCTGCACCAGAGAGGTCCCCGGGTCTCCACATCCCGCGCCCCCATGCAGGAATAATGACCGCTGCGAGCACCTCTGAGAGAAAGCCACCCTTGCATTCCTGTCCCGATGCCAGACAGTCCAGTTTCTCCCCGTATGTGTCTGGGTCCCCCAGAGTCTTGCCCGGAACTGGAGTTCAGAGCAAGTGGGAGCTTGTATCTCCCTCCCGATTAAAAGAGCAGCACATCCAGGTGCCAGCACTTTCCGCACCTCTGTACCTCTCTAGTCGTGGAACTTCCACTCAGCCAGCTTTCCTGCAGTTTTGGGTGGTAGTTGTTCTGCCTTTTGGTTGTTATTTTGATGTGGTTGTGAGAGAGAGGCAGCAAGTATAGGTGTTTACCTATGCCGCCATCTTGGTTCTCTCAAGACCAAAGATTTTTCTCAAACTTGTAAAACAAGCAAATTGAATACACTTAAGGGACATAATCTGCCAAAGTGATGCCTCTTAGATACTAATCAAGAGAGCACTTAATGGGTTTTATGGCAAGATGCAAACTGTTGAGACATGAAAAAGCAATGATGTAACTGGCACTGAAAAACAGATTATGAGAAAGAACACAGTAGTAGTCACCTATGGCAGTAAAGGAGAAAGCATTAGACAGTAAGGGAGAAAGAACTAGACAGTAAGGGAGAAAGAACTAGATTAAGGATCAGAAATTCTAGGTTTACCACTCTTTAGCTAGATGACTTGGGGTAAGTAATTTAGCTTTTTGTTAAACTGAAAAGTTCTCTTTGCTCTTTCTTTTGTAAAATATAGTGGTAGTAAAGTCATAGGTAAGCATCACAATCACATTCATATTACAAACAGGGAAACTGAGGCAGAGAAAATTAAGGTGTTTTCACCCTTTTCCAGCCAGATGTGGCAGAGCTATCCTCTAATCCATTTCACTACACTGCCTTTGCCACACCCAACCCTAGTCATCTGTCCCAGTTTGCACAAACACATGTTTTATAGTTGATGCCTTTGTACATGTTATTGGTTCTGCCCAAGTTTGTCACCTAAACTGTCAGTGTGGTCTAGGCCAAATTATTTAGTCTCTCTCTGAGAAACAGTTTCTTACATGTAACATGGAGAGACTAATATACATAAATCTCTCAAAGTACTGTTACAAATATTAAATTAATTGAGGTAATATATGTCAAATGCCTGACATATCGAAGACATTCAAAATATCAGTCTCTAGCTGCTTGTACAGGTGACACTAGTACACAGGAAGACATGCATCCTTCAGAGTTCTGCTTAAGCATCACCTTGTTTTGAGGCTTCTCTTGTCCCTTTTTAATTGCTCTGGCAGTGTAAGTCTACCTCTCCCTTATTTTTACTCTGGAATATGCCACATTATAACTCTAGGACAGACCATCAGCCAAACCATCTCCTAAGTAGTTTCCCTGCTTTCAAGACGTGTCCCACTTCCACTTCATTCTTTATGGTGTTGAGTTATTTTCCTACAACCCAAATCAGTCGATACCATTTCTCATCTTAAAATTCCTCATCAGTTCCTACTACTCTTCAGATAAAGTCCAAATTCCAATTGTGGCCTATTATGTCCTATATAATCAGAACCCACTTCCTCTCTATATTCATCTCTCTACAATCCCTTTCCAAACCTCATCACATCATACTCTCAGCTCCAGCCAGTCTGAACTTGCCAGCTCTTCCTGAATCAGGCTCTAATTAGCACAGCCGTCACTTTCCCTGGATAGCTTTCCAAACCTTCAAGTCTGAGTTAGGCACCACTCTCCATGCCCTCTTGCCTTTTATTTTTTTAAATATGTTTTTGTGTTTTTTTAATCCTCATCCGAGGATATTTTTCCTTTGATTTTTATAGAGAGTGGAAGAGAGGGAAAGACAGAAATATCGATGTGAGAGAAACACATCGATTGGTTGCCTCCTGCATATGCCCTGACGAGGACCTGGGCCAGGGAGGAGCCTGCAACCAATGTACCCTGGGAATCGAACCCAGGACCCTTTGACCCACAAGCCAACGTTCTATCCACTGGCAAAACTGGCTAGAACTAATATGTTTTTTATTAATTTTTTTTTTTTTTTAGAAAGAGAGAGGAAAGGAGATAGATAGAAACATCGATGAAAGAAAAACATTATCCATCAGCTGCCTTCTGCACGCTCCCTACTGGGGATCAAGCCCACAACCCAGGCATGTGCCCTGACTAGAATCGAACCGGTGTCCTCTTCGTTCATGGTGCTCGACCACTCAACCACACCGGCCAGGCACTCTTCGCTTTTTAAGCGCATGAAATCTCAATCAGAATAAACGCTCCATGAGGACAGGAACCTTTTTTACTACTGTATCCTAAGTAGTAAAACAATGCCTGATATATAGTATGTACTCAATACATAGTTTCTAAATGAATGAATGTATGAATTTGTTTGAATGTATATCTATTCTACCATTCTGTGGTACAATCTGATTCACATAGCCCAGGATCTAGCAATAACTACTTATTACACAAAGTAGGCACCCAATAAATATTTATTCATTATTGGGCTTCAGTCTTCTTATCTGAAAAGGAGACAATTCCTTCTCCTATAAAATTATTGTTTTAAGAAGGAAAGCTGACTACAAAGCATGTCTAAAATGTACAGGAATATCCATGGAAATAGTAACTTCAACTGGCAGAAAGTAGGCTCTAATGAAAAAATGTATTTGTGTTTCGATTAAGCAGGCTATTTATCTTTCCCCTTATCACTAAATCAATATAAACTGTGAAATAGAGGTAGAATAGGGGTGCTGAGTGGCATCCATGTCAAAAGAAGAGGGCAGAAACTAAAAGTAAAATATAAAAAAGAAATAGCCACATATAGTAGCTAATGCTGCTGACATTTCACATTTGATTTAATTAACTTATTTTTCTTAGGTAATAGGATAAATACTACTATTGTTGACAATGACCAATTCTCAGATCTCTAATGCCTAATGCTGTCACCTCTAATAAAGTCCTGAACCACACTGCAAGCAATTTTGAGTCATCTAGATTGTTAACCAACAAGAAAATAAAGTAAAAGATTATAAATGACTGAGACAATTATTTGCCTTAAAATCATGGCTGACCCTCACCGTGTTTTTGGAGAATCTCCTGAAGATCTGGCTTAGAAGCAGTATCCAAAGTGCTTTCCCCATCAACACTTCCTTCAGTATCCTCTTCTGTGGCAGAAGAGCCAACTGAGAGAACATGAAGTTTGGTTTCTGAATCTTGAGCATCTGGCTTCAGGAAAGCAGCTGGACCATCAATGCCTGGGGACCAAAAGAAAAGAGAAGGCATAACCCACTATTTAGCTCTGTGGGTTTGGAGTGTGTGATCAGAATTAAGAACCACCAAAGCACTTTACTCTCCTCTTTCCTTAACATCCATGAGGACATTTGTTAACAGTTATCCAGGACTGGTGTTAATTTTATTACATGCTCTGACTCTTACTAAAGTAAAATGTGCCTGACGTTGCCTTAAGAAACTTAAGAACGAGACTATGAAAACAAAGTAGGTCCTCCAAGGTTCAAATCCCATACAAACCAATAACTTAAGGGGCTTGACTTAGAGGCTCTTAATCCCATTCATCCCTTGTCCTCTCATCATCTTAGAAGATCCTTGGAGTCCTAATAATTGGAAGAATGGATCCTCTCTATCTACTCCTGGCTTCAAAGTTGACTGTGCCACAATGTAAAAATAAAGACTATAAGATACTAAAATCGGCTATTCTGGACTAATTCATTTGACATCTAAAAATAACACTTCTAGGGTGGATATAAACCATATAATATCTCCTACTGATTAGACCAGTGATGGCGAACCTATGACACAAAGAAAAATCAACCAAAAAAATGAGTTCGCGTGTCACCTCTGACACGCAAACTCATTTTTTTGGTTGATTTTTCTTTGTTAAATGGCATTTAAATATATAAAATAAATATCAAAAATATAAGTCTTTGTTTTACTATGGTTGCAAATATCAAAAAACTATGTGACACGGCACCAGAGTTAAGTTAGGGTTTTTCAAAATGCTGACACGCCGAGCTCAAAAGGTTCGCCATCACTGGATTAGACCATTGCTTTTATTCTACCTCAAAGACCCAGAATTTGATTATGGAAATTTATGAAGGCCTGGCCGGTGTGGCACAGTGGTTGAGCATCAACCTATGAACGAAAAGATCACTGGTTTGATTCCCCGTCAGGACACAGAACTCCAGTAGGGGGCATGCAGGAAGCAACCAACCAATACTTCTCTCTTATCTCATCGATCTTTGTATCTTTCCATCCCTTTCCCTTCCTCTCTCTCTAAAATCAATAAAAACATATTTTTTAAAAAAATTATGAAGGTACCCTAGTATCAATGCTAATGTTATTTCTTTGATCCATCTAAGAATCTTCCTGCCTTCTTCTGGGTTTGTAAAAACTGTGCCCCAGAGGTAAGAGAGGCTGCCTAAATACACACCATGTAGGATGACACTGTTGTGAGGGGTATGAGGTTCCACCAAAGGAGTATGCTCCTCACTACCTCTTGGCTTTGACCGACGTAGCTTGGCTTCTGGGTTTGGCTGCACCATGAGTGGCTCCAGGCGCTTTTTCCTCTGCTTCTTCTCCAGCAGAGCTCTCTAGGAAAAAATTTGATATTATACCCAGTAGAGATATGACAAGGCCCGCCCACTTTGAACATTTAGAGTGTTTCACTGATCTTCACACAAAATCCTTGTGAATTAATTTTCCCACTAAGGGGGGCAACGGCTCATTCATTTAATAACTATTTATTGAACACCTATAAATATAGATTTAAATGATACAAATACATTCCTAGCCAAACTGAAGATCATGATACAAGTCTATTTAAAATATATAGTAATTATCATATTATTATCAACACATGGTCACAAGTTTAAATGATATAAACACATATGCATAAATAAAAGATAAAGGAATACAAAGAAACATAGTCTTGGGGTAGTAAACTATAATTATTTTCCTTTTTCTATATTTTTAATTTTTCTTACATTTGTGATCAAAAGAAAAATAAATTTTATTATTGTCTAAACCCCAAATTATTTTCATGTTTTAATTAGCAAAAAAACAATGTTTGCTTTCTTATTCATTTATTACTAATAAAAGGGTAATATGCTAATTAGACTGGGAGACCTTCTGGACATCCTTCTGGACAAAGCCATAGTGGTGGGGCCAAGGCAGAGGCGGTTAGGGGCAATCAGGCCAGCAGGCAGAGTGGTTAGGAGCGATCAGGCAGGCAGGCAGGTAAGCAGTTAGGAGCCAGCGGTCGGACATCCCCTGAGGGGTCCCAGATTAGAGAGGGTGCAGGCCAGCTGAGGGACGTCCCTCTGTGCATGAATTTAATGCACTGGAACACTAGTCTATCTATATAAAACCCTAATATGCAAATCATTCAAACAGCAGAACGATCAGAGGAATAACCAGTTGCTATGACATGTACTGACCACTAGGGGGCAGACGTTCAACACAGGAGCTGCCCCCAGCCATCAGGCCCTGACCAGAAGTGGAGGCAGGGGGCAGGGCCAGTGAGCAGGTGGCGCCAGGCCAGCCAAGGTGAGTGCGAGCAGGGACCCCCAGATCACCCTGATGGTCACCCCGCAGAGGGAGGCGATGGCAAGGGGCAAGAACAGCGAGTGGGTGGCACCAGCTAAGGTGGGTGCAAGCAGGGACCCTGATCACCCCACCAGTCACCCCACAGATCGGCCCTGATCCCAGCCAGGCCTAGGGACCCTACCTGTGCACAAATTTCGTGCACCAAGCCTCTAGTTTTTACATATTAGGGCCAAGGGATAACAGTTGGAACATTCCAAGTAGAAAGCAATCAACTCTATGAACAAAAACAAAATATGGAACATGGTAGCAAGAAGTCAGAAAAAAAGCATGCAAGACCATGAGAAAAATCCAACAAGATGGAATTGGAAGAGAGAACCAAGATGGCGGCATAGGTTAACGCCGGAGTTTGCTGCCTTGAACAACCACTTCAAAAGTGAAACTAAAAGAGGGAACGGACATCACCCAGAACCACAGGAACGCTGGCTGAGTGGAATTCCTACAACTAGGAGGAAAGAGTAACGCATACGGACACTCAGAGGAGGCGCAGTGCTGAAGTCAAATTCTGAGGTGCGGAGTGCGAGGAGCGGGCTGGCAGCT